GCCCGCCGTAGGCCGCGGGTCTCCCGGTGGGCCGGTGCCGGCGAGGCCTGCTCGGGTCGCGGTCCGAGCGACGTGGAAGCGTCGTCTGCGGGCAAAGGCGCGCCTTAGACTCGGCTGTCCCCAGAGGCGCTGACGAGCCGTTAGTCGCTACCCGCGCCCCGGTCCTGTGCGGGGGACCTGCACATGCCGGGCTTCGTCCACGGTCTTGCTGGAGTGACATGTTTTTGTGATGCATTCCTTCCGATAGATGTTTTACGGTTACTGACACATCGAAATAAACAGGTGCAGTTGCCGTTAAGTCATCCAGGAACTGCAGCTGATGCGCCTTGTTGGCTTTTCACATTTAGGTCTGAGCTGGGGTGTGGTTTGTTTCCAGAGTGGCAGTCCAAGGCTCAGGGCCACGGTTTTCCACCGTTGCAAGATGCTGCGCTGCCAGAGACACCTTTACAATGGTTCACATCATGCTACGTGTCTTATGTCCGCACCTGTATATGCGTGATTGTATATTGCACTGCAAACCGGTTATGTGTATTGAGATAAGTGTATCTCAACGATCTGGAATTGCTTGCGTTTTAACTGCGACCTGGGTTATCTACAAAACAAACTGCTCTCTGATAGGTACTCTCCTTTAGATTATGTGGTGAGTCAAGATGCTAATAAAAATCAGCTTTACTAATAAAATATTTTGACACAGCACATTTTGTTATTCTGTTCTTTGTCACAAATATTTGCTAAATTCCATCCTTGTAGTTTCCAGTGACAAAGTTGTGAAATGAAACTGTTTAATGGCAGAGCATGAGAGTTAATTTTTCCCATAGGTAGTTGTGCAGGAGGAGAACAACCTGATTTGTGACTGGGCCAGCATAGACTGACCAGGCCAGCTTGCCTTGAATTCCTCTGAATCAATGTACTTTTGGGTAGCTTCATGATTATTCCTTTTCAGGTCTGGATATATGTTTTTGGTGATCCATGGTAACCTTCCAGCAAGAGCAGAGGTATGAGTACTCTCTGTCAGGCTGGAACAAAGGCTTTCTGTTCCTGGTAGCCTGCAACTCTGAGTTAAGCAGGCCTCTGAATTTTAGGATATTGATCAACCAGGACAGAAAAAAATGTTAAAGAGGAAATAAGACATCACTGTGCATATGCTGTCATGCTAATTTGCACTTTTTATGTTTTCAGTGTCTGAGCAAAGCACTTCAGGGAATTTAGGTTATTTAGGAAGAAACATTGCTAGAGATGTCAGTCTTTAATATTTAGAATTAATTGTGTGACCTCATTTTCATGGAAAAACAAAGGTACTGCTTCCATGAAGAGAATTATAAAGAGGGTATTCCATTATCCTTGCTATAGAGTATTATAGACTTTTTTCCTATTAACTGTCATTGTTGCTGCTTGTCATCATGACCTTTTAACTGCTTTTAAAACAAAGAATTCCCAAACAAAAACCATGAATTGTTGCAGTATGTTGTTATGCTTATGTGAGGATCTTTCATTAGTTCTCTCAAGTTGCGAAAGCTGTAAATAGTGGTTTGAATGTTAAAATGCTTGTCTTGTCTTTGAGTAATCCCCAGATTCCATTGGGGTTAACACCTGTTTCATGCAAAGATTAGGAAAAACAAAATGGGTTTGAGTCAATTCCAGTCTGTGTTTGGCTGTATTTGGGAATCATTCGTCAGAGAAAAGTAGAGAGTGCTAGGAAACGCTCTCTAGTACTCTCTCTACTAGTGCTACTCTAGTAGTCACTAGAAAGCAGTACCAAAACATGGTAGAAGACCCCCTATGCTGGCCTTAGTCAGTCACAGTTTCCTTCACACTCAGCTAACTCAGTTCGACAAGAGAAGTTAAATTTCAATTCTAACAAATGGGTTGCGCTGCAGAGCCTTTGCTACAGGTGCAAGGTTGCTTGCAGTTTTCACATTTCATAGTGGAATTTGGGTGGTGAGACTGTATTATATTTCAAAGCAGCTGCTTGAGATTTGGAGTTACAAAGCAAATTAAGTTCTGAACCTCTAAATAAACATATACAGCGATCCCATATGAAACACTGAAAAAACACAAAGAAGAGTCCTAAAATATATTACCAATTCTTCTGCAGCACTCTTTGAAGGAGCAGAGGGTAGGGGTTCAAAGTAAATTTTGTAACTATGCAATGACTCAATAAATTTCTAGATTACTGTAATTCTATGCAGTAGCAAGCATTCATTCTTAATAACTTGCAGTGTGGATATAGAACAGTTGCCAAAATTGTTCATGAAAACCAAGATGACTTGAATTATAGCATGGTTGGTACATTGTTTATACTGTGTTCCAAGATAAATTTTTCAGCAAAGTTCAACATTTCCTCCTTGTGTTTATAATGCAAGCATATTATTTGAAGTGTTAACACTCCTTATGTGGTACAAACTTTCTTTGGTTAGATTTTGGTTAAAAGAATGTTTAAGCATCTGTATTTCTTGATAGCTTTATAGCCTGCCATTTTACAGCTGAGTCAGCTTGAATGGATTTATTTTTTTGAGAAAAGAAAAGTAGTAATATATGGTACTTTCTTTTTTAAAAGGGATAACTGTTAAATAGTTAAATGTTTACATTTTTAGTTAAATGTTTACATTTTAGAATAAATATAATATATACAAAATAAGAACTACTTATTTGGGTTTGGGTTTGGGTTTTTTTTTGGAAGTCATAAAGTCATATTCCCATGCTCACCATTACCTGACACGGCCCCATATATTTGATGTATAAATTCTTGGTTGTGCATATTAGATCATACATATTTTGTGACTCTTGAGTTTATCAAAGCAAACTGCTCTTCTTCCCATCTTATAATAGTTTTGATATTTTTTGAGATTAAATACTTCTACTCTTTTAAAATTTACATGTTTGTAATCATCTGAGCTCTGGCTTTGTACTTCCAGACAGTGTGAGGTTATCTTGAAGAGGTCTTAGATTTCAGTTTACCACAGGTAAGGCTGTCTGTTTGAGCCTGCTGAGCAATGTAGCCTGCAATATTATGGGGTGTGTTCTTTTACAAACACTGATCTGAATTTTAACCAGAAGAATTTTGTAATAGTAGACTGTTTGGTAATTCAGTCTAAAATGAATCCCATGCTGATTTAAGCATACTTGTGTTCAGAACGTTAAAGTTTAGCAGTGTTTGATGTTTGTCAGTTAAAATGTTAGTAGTTTTATTTTTAATTTGTTAATATTTTAAAGCCTTTTTGAGCAAAAAGAGAATTAGGGAAGTTACCTGAGTGTTTAATGTTTACAGGAGAGACAAAATTTTGTCCTCTCTGTGGATGGGGTGTAGACCTTTTAACTCATTGCAGAGGGCTAAGATGAATGGATGTTTTGAAGACTGTCACTAGTCAACAGAAATTCTTGCTGTACATGACAGTCTCTTTTCCACGTCTGTATTCTGTGTGAGAAGTAATTGGGGAGCAGCATATAGATAGGTATGGTCTTTAAGGTAATGGTAAGAATCATGATTAATTGGGAAGCCCCACGGTTTTTCAGTGAGTTTTTCCTGGAGAGCCTTATGTGCTCATTTTTTCTACACTCAACCCTTTGTCCCTCAAAGCTGCAGTGGTCACAGCACTTGGAAGACTCCCGGAGTCTTGAAAAATTATGTCACTTAGACCTTGTATCGCTTGTGGCCTATTCTAGCAAAAACTTTGCTTTTGCCTGGTGTTCTGTTATTGTACTAGCACAAGTGGCAGTGAAACTGCCAAGTTATAAGGAAGTTGCTGACCAACAAAAACGGATTAATTTGGGGTCTGAAACTTCTCCAACCAAGGATTTTTACTGAGTACTTCTCCTTGTAAGCTTACAGAGCCTAACCTTGCTCTGAGAAAATTTTTAGTGCCTCCCTCATGAGTGATTCCTAGCAATGAAATAGCTTCTATTATGCAGTTGTTCAGCAAAGTGTATGACTTCGTCATGTGTGATGTGTTTGTTACCCAACGCGAGTGTTAAATTTGTTATCAGCTAAGTTTCAGAAGAAGCTAGTAATAAAAAATTCTAATTGCATTCATGAAGTTTTCCAAGTTACGCATTTTTAGTATTAGAAGCCATAAGCTATTTCCAGTTCCTTTCAGATGACTCAGTTGTGGATACTGGCTTCATTGTCATTTGAAATACTATATTCATATACATAGCTTAATCACCTTCTGGATGAATGCAATGCGAATTCTCTTCTGCTTAGTTTCTAAAGGCTTTTATCAGTCTTAGTCACCCATCCGTTTTCCTTGTGTGTATTCTATTGAGAATGAAAGCCAGTCATTGCATGGGTCTGATCTCAAAGAGTAGAAGAGGAGACATGCCACTTCAGAAACCATGCCAATTAATACAACAGATTTCTTAAAACACAGCTGTTAATCACAGTTTCAAACACTAAAGAGTTGCTGATGAAACTAAAAACCTTGGTTATTTGCAGTCAGGTTTATTTGGTAAATCATCACAGGCCAGTCCCCAAGTTTTGGGTGTCTGTGCAGTCCCTTGAGTTGTTTGTTGACCTGTGTCATCTTGCCACTGTAGATTGTAGCTGCACCTTCAGGAAAGTAGGGTTAGGGGAATGAGAGAAATACCTTTAAACAGAGTGTGCGCTCATTAGTATTTCTCTCTTGCATTTCAAGTGCAACTAGAATCCCACAGAGCAGCAGTGTGCACATGGACTGAGGATTTACCAGTTGGCCTGTGACTGCGCATTAATGAAATATTGCTTAAAGTGCTAAAGACTCAGTAAAGAACCAGCTAGAAATCTGCATAGTTTGCTGACTTTCTGTTCTTCTCAGTGAGATTAATGTAGTAGCTGTGAATTTATCAGACATCTTAAAATCTGTGTTTTCACAGCCTCTGTGTGTCTGTTTGAGATTTCCTTATACTTGTCATGATAGCTGGATTTTTTGATGGTGACTTTTCCTTTCCCTGGTACAGATTGCCTAGGGAGCTGAGGTTATTCTAATATATTTGGGGCTTTAAAAATTAT